AGATCACACAATTTGTCCAAGATTGGATCAGCGGGATGCAAAGGTGGCGGTAATTTGGTCACAGGTGGTCTAATTGAATGCAATAATATTTACTTCTGAGCAAACATATACAAGATTTATTGCAAAGCAAACATATTACAGTTGTTCATTTGTGTTAGAACAGGAATGAGTGATGTATGACCCTATCACCCATTTGTGAGGTCACAGGAATTCTCCTCCTGCCCCTCCCAGGGCTGACTTCTTTAGTAATTGAAGAGGTTTCCTCCTAGTTGCCCAGCATCAGGGCAAAAACAAATCACGCTCTTATCTTGTTAAAAGTAAACAAATACAGTCATTCCTCTGTGTCAACAAATGTTGCTTTCACAGATTCAGTCATCCATGCTTGAAAATATATTTTCTTAAAATTCCCAAAAACAAACCTTGATTTTGTAATTTTATGTAAGGGACACCATTGCCTACACCAGTGGTTCTCAACCTGGGGTCCCTAGATGTTTTTGGCCTACAACTCCCAGAAATCCCAGCCAGTTTACTAGCTGTTAGGATTTCTGGGAGTTGAAGGCAAAAAACATCTGGGGACCCCAGGTTGAGAACCACTGGCCTACACCATTGTATGCAGTGGGACTTGAGCATCCACAGATATTGGTAAGGACCAATGGAGTTTAGTCCTTCCAACACTCTCACAGGCAATGCTCAATGAGGACCATGTTGTCTGGGTTGTTTCCAGGCTGCAAAACTCCCTTCTGTAGGAGGCCAGGATGGGTCCTTCTCTGCTCTTCTGGCTGTGGAAGGCAGTTCCACAACTTGGAAACAGCCACACAGGGCCCTTCCAGATAGGCCCTAAATCCCAGGATCTGATCCCAGGTTTTCTGTTTATCCCAGATTTTCTGGCTGTGCAGACTCATATAATCCAGTTTAAAGCAGAAAACCTGGGATTAGATCCTGGGCTATAGGTCTCTAAGTGTCTGTGGGCCCTTGCACACATTATCTTCTTTGAACTGAAATATATGGCAGTGTGGGCTCAGATAACCCAGTTCAAAGCAGATATTGTGAGATTTTTTGCCTTGATATTCTGGGATATATGGCTGTGTGGAAGGGCCCTAATTCATTTCTAATGCAGTGCCCTCATTCTTTCCAGGATATGTCTGACTTGAGATCTTCATCTTGTAGGCAATCTGGGAGGATGGGCTGACTTTTGTGTAGCCTGACAAAAATCTTTAGGAGGGTCTTTCTTCTAAGCAATGGTGTACAGCACAGAGCAGCCTATGCAGCCCAGTCCTTGAATAAAAGTCCCAATGGGATTTCTTATCATGAGGCAGCAGATTTGGAAGGGTCACGGAAGGGCAGGGAATTATTTGATTGCTTTTTTGTTTCTTTCTGACAAACCCAGCCAGAACAAACATAGGTCACATTGTGTCGTTGAAGGCTTTCATGGCCAGAACCACTGAGTTGCTGTGAGTTTTCCAGGCTCTCTCCCTCATCCCTACAAGTTGTACTTGTGATGAATGCGCTATCCCTGTGGCCTCCTTCCCTTGGGTGGAGGAGGGAGCTGCTGCAGTGTAAATACCTTCGGGATCCCCTCCCGCGACCCAATGTGCAGGCAGACAGGCATGCAGGTGGCACCCTCTCTCTACACTGGAGAATAGCTGCCGCTTGTCCCCCCCCCCCCCGGGTGATAGTATGATAGCTGGGTCCGGAAGCTCTGAGCATTATGGAGTTGCCACAAAGGTGACTGTGAATAAGGGAAGAGAAGGGGCGGAGTGAGAGCAGGGAGAGTGAAGGAAGGATAGAAAGGAGGGGACACTTAAGGTAAGGGTTTGGGCAAGGTTTGGGATTTGGGTTTGGGTTATAGTTAGGGTTTGTGGTTAGAGTATGGTTTAGAGTTAGGGTAAGGTTTAGGGTTAGGGTTAGCGTAAGGGTTAGGGGTTAGGCTTACAGTACAGTTCAGAGTTAGGGTAAGGGCTAGGGTTTCACCATTAAAGAACTCTTAGGGTAAGGGTTAGGGCAAGATTTAGTGTTTGGGTTAGGATTACGGTTAGGGTAACGGGTTGCGGTTAGAGTATGGTTTTGGGTAGGGTTTAGGGTTTGGGTTAGGGTAAGGGCAAGGTTTAGGGCAGGGGTCCTCAAAGTAAGGCCTAAGGGCTGGATACGGCCCTCCAAAGTCATTTAGCTGGCCCTCGCTCAGGGTCAACCTAAGTCTGAAATGACTTGAAAGCACACAACAACAACAACAACAATCCTATCTCATCAGCCAAAAGCAGGCCCACACTTCCCATTGAAATACTAATAAATTTAAATTTGTTAAAATTGTTCTTCATTTTAATTATTGTATTGTTTTAAAGTGTTTTTTGCACTACAAATAAGATATGTACAGTGTGCATAGGAATTCACTTATGTTTTTTCAAGCTATAATCCGACCCTCCAACAGTTCCGAGGGACTGTGACCTGGCCCTCTGTTTAAAAAGTTTGACGACCCCTGGTTTAGGGTTTGGGTTAAGGTTATGGTTAGGGGTTGTAGTTAGGGTACAGTTTAGGGTTAGGGTAAGGTTTAGTGTTTGGGTAAGGGTTTGGGCAAGGTTCAGGGTTTGGGTTATGGTTAGGGGTTGTGGTTAGGGTACAGTTTAGGGTTAGGGTTAGCGTAAGGGGTTAGGCTTAGGCTTACGGTAGGGTTCAGGTTTAGGGTAAGGGTTTCACCATGCAAGAACTCTTCCATTCCTTCTATATTTTCTGTTTCTGGCCTGGCTTACATGAGCGAAGTCTCTCTTGTGCAACCTGCGCTCAAAAAGGAGCGATGCGGCATCTCCGTAACGCTGGGAGCTTCCGGACCCAGCTATCATACTATTGCCCGCCCCCCTCCCGCCCTGAACTGCCCTGCCTCCAGGCTCTGGGATCCTCAGGGGCTGCCTTTCGGGGAGGCGCCAGGGAAGGCGAGAGAGCCCGGGGATCCCCTCGCTCGCGTTGCGCCCAGGGCAGAGGAGGAGGCACCGAGTGGCACCCCGAGCTCCTCAGAGCAGGAGGAGGAGGAGGGATGCGGGGAGGAGGAGGAGGAGGAGGAGGAGGGTGCCTTTAGCTGCCTCCTCCTCCTTACTCGGCTGCTGATCCTGGCTCTGGAGCTGGAGCAGGAGGAGCAGCAGCGAGAGCGGCAGCATCAGGCAGGGCCACCCCCGGAGGGCAGCAGCGGGCCACTCACTGCGGCATCCCAGCTGCTAAGAGAGAGGGAGGGAGAGGGAGAGGCAGCAGAGGAGCCCGCGGTGCCCCCTCGTCCCCGCCCGGCTTTGGAGAGGGCCCAGGTGCCGCCCCTCCCTCCCTCTCTGCCCTCCCCTTCTTCTTCCTCTGCTCCTTCTCCTTCTCCTTCTCCGGGGCCCCTTCTCCGCCCGCCCCAGATGCCCTCTGCGGCGCGGGAAGCAGCATGGGCGCCCTCAGCAGCAGGCAGAACGCCGGCGAGGAGGAGGTGGACAGCCTCCCCTCGCATGCCATCTACAGATATCCTCCTAAATCCGGTAAGCCTTTTAAAGGGAGAGGGAGAGGGAGGGAAGGAAGGAAGGAAGGGAGCAAGAGGAGGCGGCAGCTGGGGCGCAATGTGACCGGGGACTGCCAGCCTCTCTCTCTGCCTCTCTCTCTGCTTGGGAACTCCGTCCCAATGCGGCTTGGTGCGCTCTGCAAGGAGCTTGCCCCTGCCCCTGCCTCCTCTTGCTTCTCCTCGCGGGAAGCGAGCTGAGCCTCTCCTCGGCGGCGGCGGCGTCTCGTGAGGAGGGAGCGGCGACCTTCATGGCCTCACCATGCTTGTTGGTAAAGAGCCCTCCCTTTCCCCCCTTGACCTCTGGGGCGCCCCGCTTGGCCTCCTGCTCCCCGAGGCGCTCCCCTGCCCCACAAGGCTGGCTTTCCTTCCCTCCCGACTTGCGCCGCGCCTCCTGACCCGAGAAAAGGCTGGCCTTGGGATAGCCAGGCGCCCTTCTGCTCCCGCCCTGCCAAGGCCCTGCCCTGCCCCAGCCTCCCCTCCAATCCCGGGGCCATGGCGGGATGCAGGGATGGGCCGTCCAAGCAACCCATGGTGCTTGCCTGGGGCAAGGAAGGGCCGTATAGAGTATATCTTTCACAAAACTCTGCAACATCCCTGTCTCCATCTTGTAGAGGCTGGTATATTGCACAGGTTCTCTTATAGGTTCTCTTATATATGGTATATATCAGGTATGGGCAAACTTGGGCCCTCCCTCCAGGTGTTTTGGACTTCAACTCCCCACCATTCCTAACAGCCTCGGGCCCTTTCCTTTCCCCCTCAGCCACTTAAGCAGCTGAGGGGAAAAGGAAGGAGGCTGTTAGGCCAAGAATGGTAGGAGTTGAAGCCCAAAACACCTGGAGGGAGGGCCCAAGTTTGTCCAGGCCTGGTATATATGGTTCTCTGCCAGCTTTTGGGTTCCCTCTCTGCAAGGGAATAGGAAGATATGGGGGTTTGAAAATGGTGACTGGGATGCAGTGACTTACTGGGATTTCGGTGGCTGAACTTCCTTGAGAAATGTGTCAAGTTTCCTTCTGATTAAATATTTTACTTTTGGGTCACTTCATTGATTTTTGTTCCTGTGACAGCAGATAGGCATGCAAAGCAGGTAGAGATTAGGTTCTTGTGGGTTTTTTGGGCTATAGGGCCATGTTCTAGAGGCATTCTCTCCTGACGTTTCGCCTGCATCTATGGCAAGCATCCTCAGAGGTACCTCACTACCTCTGAGGATGCTTGCCACAGATGCAGGCGAAACGTCAGGAGAAATGCCTCTAGAACATGGCCCTATAGCCCAAAAAACCCCACAAGAACCTAGTGATTCCAGCCATGAAAGCCTTCGACAATACAGGTAGAGATTCTTTTAGTGCAGGCATGAGCAAACTTGGGCTCTCTGGGTGTTTTGGACTCCAACTCCCACCATTCCTAACAGCCTCAGGCCCCTTCCTTTTACCCCTCAGCCACTTGAGCTAAGGGGATCCCATTTGTGGTCAGAACCCAGAGTTGAAGAAGTTGTGAGCTAGAGCATACCAGGTATTATTATTATTATTTTATATTTATTTTCCCCGCAGGAGGGTCAAAGCAGCTTAACATAAAAGCATCAGCATAACAATTTAAAATATACAAATATATGAACATGAAAACTGGATTAAATATAAAAAGGTAAAGGTTTCCCCTTGACATTAAGTCGTCGAGTCCAACTCTGAGGGTGGTGGTGTTCTTCTGCATTTCTAAGCCGAAGAGCCTCCAAGCTCATATGGCCAGCATGACTGCATGGAGCACCAGTACCTTCGTGCCAAAGCGGTACCTATTGATCTACTCACATTTGCATGTTTTCGAACTGCTAGGTTGGCAGAAGCTGGGGCTAGCAGGAGGGGCTCACCCTGTCCCATGGAGTCAAACCATCAACCTTCCGGTCAGCAAGTTCTGCAGCTTAGTGGTTTAACCCACTGTGCCACTGCAGATCCTAAATATAAATAGTAAATACAAATAGTATTTAAATATAAATAGTATTTTAAAATTCCCCTTTAAAAGTCATTAAAACAAATTTAAAGTTTAAAACCCCAGCCATCTCTGAAATGATCTTAAACACCTTCAGATTGTAAATTTAAAAGGCAAATTAAGACTGCTCTTCACTATCTTCTGCCTTTGCTAAGGCGAGTAAATGCACAGGACCAGTACATGTAAGATCAATGACAACACTGTAGTCCGTGTGTTACCATTACTTCCTAACTGTGAGAGCTGTTCAGCAGTGGAACTCTCTGATCCAGAGTGTGGTGGAGTTTCCTTCTTTGGAGGCTTTTAAGCAAGGGCTGGATGGCCATCTGTTGGGGACGATTTTCCTGCTTCTTGGCAGGGGGTTGGACTGGATGGCCCACGAGGTCTCTTCCAACTATGATTCTATCATTTTATGATCTCGTATATATACCCAGCTGACCTGTTTCACTCTGTATCCCATTTGCAAAGAGCTCTGTGGTGGCAGTCTGATCCTGTGCACTTGCAAGGCGAAACAGTCCCACAGAATCCTTCGTTATGAATAAAATGGCCTTCTGGGACAGCATCCTATGCCTGATATCCTTTGCATGATTACTTGCAAGTGTCTCCAGTTTCCAGTGATGGAACATGCTTTTGAGTACATGTATTTACAGTGAATGCTTCAGAGTAATATTCCAGAACAATAAACCCTTCAGTTTATGAAGTATTGTTAAACTGCTTTCACTATTGTAATTCTCAAGGGTTGCTGCAGAATTTGAGGAAGGGAGGCGTCCTTTTTTCCACCATGGAGGTGGCACGTAAAGCCATGTCTCTTTTAATTATTTTTAATCACATGTTTTGAAGACCTAATTCCCACTGGGATGGTGTAATGCAAAACAAAAGAGATTTGTGGTTTGAGATGCTCAGAAAGGCATCTAACCCTTTTGTTTCTGTACTCCAGAGAAAGCCCGCTGGAGGCAAAGGCTGATTTCTTCTCAGAAATATTCTTGTTTTACACTCTGGAAAGGAGTGGTTTGAATGTGTGCCAGTGCAGGGTGATGCTAGGAAGGTGTCCTGGCCACGGCACGGGCCTAACCATTAGCCACCTTGTATGCCCACATTCCCCTCTACTTTGAGCCCACGTCCCCTCAATTTTTAAAGTGTATTTTCTTTAAATATCTGGCAAATAGTTAAAATGTCACTACAATTCTTTTTCGTTCAATTTTGCATTTGTCATTCCACTTGGCATCCTGGAATATAATTGAACGCATATGAGCAAATCTTTGGGAAAAAAAACCTGGAATTTTGGCTCCAATAAATGTTTTCCTTAGTTTTGCGCTGTTCAGTGAGGCTTACTTCCAGATATGCCACCCCAGAGTTGAAGGCTCGTTTAAGATTCATTTCTGATGTTGTTTCTCAGGGCCCTTTCACACTACACAACTACGGCACTATGGTCCTATTATTATTATTATTATTATTATTATTATTATTATTATTATTATCATTATTTATATCCTGCCATCATCTCCCAAAAGTGACTCGGGGTGGCTTGCAAAAAGCACATAGTAGTGCTGCAGAAACATATAAAATACAGTAAAATACACAAAGACTTATAAAACAATAGCAATATCAATTGACATAGCACAGATTTACATAAAAAGCTGCTTACAAAACTCCCACTCAATTTAAATAAAATGTTCAGTAAAATGCAGCAATAGCAGCAGATTAAAATGGGCAGTATCATTTTCAAGTCACTTTAAAGTGTTGGAGTCAAATAATTGGATTGGTCCTCAATTTTAGCTGATGTTTTAGCCAAGACCTGCTTAAAAAGCCATGTTTTCAAGTCCTTCTGGAAACATTAGAGTGTAGGGGCTAGCCTAATTTCCCCTGGGAGGGCGTTCCAAAGCCAAGGGGCCACCACCGAGAAGGCCCTCTCCCTTGTCCCCACCAACTGCACTTGAGAAGGAGGTGGCACCGAAAGGAGGGCCTCCCCGGCAGATCTTAGAGCCTGCACTAGTTCATAGGGAGGGATGCAGTCACAAAGATAGGCTGGACTCGAACTGTGTAGGGCTTTGTAGGTAATAACCTGCACTTTGAATTTGGATCAGAAACTTGTCGGCAGCCAATGGAGCTGCTTTGATAGAGGCATGGTATGCTCCCTATAGCTAGCAACCTGGTTGCTGACCTTTGTACTAATTGCAGTTTCCCAGCTGTCTTCAAAGGCAGCCCCACATAGAGTGCATTGCGATAATCAATTCTAGATGTAACTAAGGCGTGGACCACTGTGGCCAAATCAGGCTTTGTGAGGTACGGTCACAGCTGGTGCACAAGTTTCAACTTCAAAGGCACTGCTGGCCACTGCTGACACCTGAGCGTCAAGTGTCAGTGCTGAGTCCAGGAGGACCCCCAGACTGCAGATCTGTGTCTTCAGGGGGAGTGTAACCCGGGTTGTTACCCTATACACTTTTAACTACCATGGCAACATTCTGTGGCATTCTGGGCTGTGCAGTATAGAGAGGGGGCATTTAAAATTCCCAGCCATGAAGCTCTATAGCAAGTATGGGCAAACTTCAGCCCTCCAGGAGTTTTGGACTTAAGCTCCCTGCAGCATCAGCCACTTTGGCCAATGGTAGGTATTCTGGGAGCTGTAGTCCAAAACACCTGGAAGACTAGAGTTTGAGAATCACTGGCCTAGATCCTCTCCAAATTGCAAATCCCAGTATACCCATGACAGTTAAAGTGGATTCCTTGTACTGTAACTGTGTGAAGGGCCTTTTGTTCTATTTCATATTTTGGTTACAACATGGCAATTCCTTTCTTATGTGTATCTGATGGGAAATAAGTGACACTGAACACACTGGGAAAGATTTTCAAATATATTTATTTATCGTGTCAGTATCAACCAGTCAATTGTATTACATTTTTAACAATTTTTTAACAAACAGACAAAACAGAGATCGCAAGCTTGGTAGTTGATTAAATGTCCTTTGACCAATATCTGGTTACTTGGAGTGCCTCTGGTGTTGCTGCAAGAAGGTCCTCCATTGTGCATGTAGCGGGCATGTGCATGTGGAGGTCCTCCATTGTGCATGTAGCAGCTATTTTCAAATTGGCGTGCAAAGAATACGGTATTGCGTGGTTATAGTTTTCTGTCTAGTTACTAACAGTGCGTATATGCAGCAGTTAGAGATCCTGATCAAAGCATTGTTGTGCTACACTACTAACAAGCTTGATAGCAACTCAGATTTAATGTTTGCTCAGAATAAGATTTGTGAGGACTAGTTTTTTAACTATTGGTAGCATTTTGGAATTCCCTCGATTT